GGGGGCGGGGGCGCGCGCCAGCCGTGGGGAGTGGGGGGCGATGGCGAAGCTCCGGGTGGCTTACGAGTACACGGAAGCCGAGGACAAGAGCATCCGGCTCGGCTTGTTTCTCATCATCTCCGGTGTCGTGTCGCTCTTCATCTTCGGCTTCTGCTGGCTCAGTCCCGCGCTGCAGGATTTGCAAGCCACGGCGGCCAACTGCACGGTGCTGTCGGTGCAGCAGATCGGCGAGGTGTTCGAGTGCACCTTCACCTGTGGCGCCGACTGCAGGGGCACGTCGCAGTACCCCTGCGTCCAGGTGTACGTGAACAACTCGGAGTCCAACTCCAGGGCGCTGCTGCACAGCGACGAGCACCAGCTCCTGACCAACCCCAAGGTAAGAGCCTCGCGCGCACGCCGGGCTCGCCGCCTGGGACGCGGACGCCTTCCCGCCTCGCTTCTGTGCGGATCCTGGGGTCGGAGGGCGGCGTCAGGGGTAGAGCCCGCGCGGGGCGTGCTCGAGCTGCTGGAGCAGACAGGGCGTCTGAGGTTGTATCCCGATTAGGATTGAGTGCATTGAGGAGCCCTGGAGCTCGCTTCTGCAGGTTGGGTTTGCGTGCGGGGACCCAGTGGTGCTCCGAGGCTTTCTTAGTATACCCTCCCCACCGGTCCCGTCAGATCCTTTGATGTTGTGGCCGTGGCCCGATCCATGTCCATCGCCTACCAGTGTTTGGTGAAATTGCATGGCATGAAAAGTTAACTTTTCTCAGGTTAAGCCTGTGGGTAGACAGGGCATACTTTACCCCACCGGTCAAGGTCCAAACTTGAACTTGTCTGACTCAAAAACTCGGGTGGGTCTTTCAGCTCACAGAATGGCCCTGGGAAATCCTTTACCTTTAGAGCTCTAGACTAATAATTTAACCTAAGGTCCAAAAGATAAGGTTTGGGAAATCGACAGACATCTTGTAATCAAACTGCGAACTTTTTCTGAGGACTGAGGGGTATTTTAATAAAGTAGATGCTCAAAAATAGAGCCTGCTGGCTCCATGCGTGTCCAGAGCTCATTGAAGAGCGGGTTGGAGATGATGAAACCTATCAAGAAGTGAAAATCCTCCGTGAAGTAGACAAAATATGACTTCTCTGAAAACTCGTGTCTCACAAGCAAAAAACAAACCCTAGTTAGAACCCATGGGATGAAGGGCAGAGAGAAAGTGACTCAGAAAAGTGGTTCCAGCTGAGGAAAGAAAACTTAAAAAAAAAAAAAAAAAAGCAGTCAGTGAACTAATTGAGCTTAATACTGCGTCTTGGTCCCTAAAAAGGATTTCTTTTGTTTCTTCTCTTGGTCTTTCTTAGTCTTTGGGTAACTTAACTACCAGAATAAAGGTGTGTGTTTAATGCATTTTATTTCAACTTACTGTCATTTCCGCTAACTTCTAATGAGTGCTGTGTCCGATGATTAAGTAAAAAAGTAGCCCAAAAAGGAAAATGAATTTTGTGTACACAGGAAAACTTTCTCTTAACTGTGACAAGATATACTGGTGCCAATTCAAAAGAAATAACAATTTTATGTTAAGTTTTAAAAACCCAAACTTTCGGTAGCTCTGTAGCAAAAGTCATGGTTTTGCCTTCTCAATACTTTCTTGAGGAAAATATAAAATGTGGAATTATTTTAAGTGCTATTTATCTCTCTATGAATAGTGCTTATTTAAAATTTAATATTTAATTACCTTCTGTAAGTAGTAAATATAGTAATAAGACTTTAAAAAATTAGAAGTACAGAATTTAGATCTTGGGAATTAATGTGGTTAGAGTATAATTTTTAAACTCTTGTAGAAGCAATAATAGCTAAAAAATGTTTTTAATTCCTTTTTCTAATGCTCAGCAATTTTAAAAGAATTCTTATTATTTCAGAAACTTTTCTTTCAGGAGTCATGAAATAGCAAAGAAAAGTATCCATATTAAGAATTATTTAGAAATTACATTGTACTTCATCATAAAGAAGGTGTTATATTGGTAGAACATGGTTAATTATTTTAAAATAGGAATTTAAACAGTAATGTTATATACATACATCAGGGAATTGCTAACTCCTAATCAATATCCAATCTTCTATCTAATCATTGATAAATTAGAAATGCAAAAAAGACTGCATCACAGTTTCCAGGTAATTGTTAAAGGACCTGACAGAATAAGAAAATTGAAATAGAACATAGTTTTCAAAATCACTTGGAAACTGGCCCAGGACTTTAATATTTTATCTAGCTCTTTTTCTTTCTTTCTTTTTTTTTTTAAAATACACTGGTTTGGTTTGGTTTGTTTTCAGTGCCCATTCAGATCCTGGCAATAGTTGTTTGGAAGAATTATCTGCGCAAAATGCTTTATAAAGTGGTTAAGAAATGACAAAACTGGAGAAAGATATATTTATATTACAGAAAACTATGAACAATGTACCAGCCAATATGAGTTTCCTTAGCAAAACCATTATGCAATTCTATATCCAATTATGATCACATTATAGGATTTATGAACAAAAGTTTGTTCTTTTACATTTACCTTTCTTCTTTTGGTCACTAAATACTCAATTTAGAAATTCTTGTAGGTAATTTCAAATGGGAAAATTCAGCATAGCCAAGATATTGTTAATCCAGAATTAAGTACATTAGCAGGATGTCTTGATAGTGCTGTTTGCAATAGACAGTAACTCACTGCCCATTTCTGTTGCATCTTGGCTGTTAAATAATTTCTTTGACTTCCTTTACTTCTTCATTAAAGGTCTAGGTTCCCTACCTAATCACTTTGTAGACTGTTTAGATTGGCTACAGTGTCATTAGGACTAATCACCCTTCAACTTTCTCTTCTTCACCACTCGTCCTGGGGAAATCATGTCAGAATTTAACTCCTTAGAAAAATGAAATAAAGACTTTTTCTCCTTCTACAATTTTGCTGTGTTAATTATAGTAAAACACAGAGAAAAGGAAAGATTGCAAAATAGATAACTTTGTAAGGCTTAAATTATTAAGAAAGATTTTGTGAATGAATTTGACCACTAATGATGTCCTCAAAATAAGTTATGTCATAATAAATTAATATGTGTTGGAATCATGTCCTTATTGTCTAAAGCAATTATTGTGTCCAGGTGTGCTGTGTAACATTCACATTGATTGCTCACAGAGAAATGATAAACTTTATGGAACAACCACAGCAAAATTCCCGCTTAAGGTCAGTTTCTTGCTACAGTTCCCATCACTGCATTATCTCCTGACTTAGTTGTGTCATGTAAGAGCAGAGGCTCTCAAAGTGTCAAAGTGGATTGCACATGAGAATCACCAGGGAATGTAAATAAAACTTCTTCTGCCTCTGACCATGCCACAGAGATTTTTGTTTGGTTTTGTATGAGTCTTAGGAATTGGTATTTTTCCAGAATTTTTGTTGTAGTTATGTAGACTAGGTATAGCAAAGCATACACCAGTCAACATGTTAGCATTCAGTGATGCCGATTACATTGAGTTGTGCCCACATGCCCACCTTCCTTTTCTGAGTTGTTCCTCTTCCATTAATATAAACTCATTGCCTCTTAAAAGGTCTAAGTTTTTGAGTTACTACTGTCATTTTGATCCCATAGAAAAAAGTGCTTAAAAGAGCATAATGCTCAAGGCAGAATTTTTTTTACTAGTTAAGCTAAGATATTGTTTAAGAAGACTTCAGGAGGATATTTTTGGTATAAGTTTGAAGATTTCCTCAGATCATTAATTTAGAGCTTCATCCTGCCATCAAGGTTCCAGAATCTAGTCAAGTCCATGAGAATGCAAAATGCTGTTCTATATCCTCTACCCCTTTTGATCAGGATAACTGTATCAAAAATGTACAGTAAGGATAGCTGGGCGCACATCATCCAGTTCTGATTTAATGGCCAAAGTGGCAGTTGTTCATGGAGGCAGTTAGGCATGCGTTCTGTATCATCCTATGTTACTTACTTTTCTTCTTTCTCTCATGCTCTAGGCTTATAGAGAGCTATTGTTCCTTGATGGTAAGCATTTAAGATGCCTGCACTATACAGTGAACTAGGAGGTTGAACAGGAGCACAGAATACATTTTTAGGCTGATTAACTGAGATATCCAATTTGTAAATCATTACCATATGTAGACAGAGTCTAAATCACTATTTTAGAAAACATACTTGCTGCTTTACAAAAAAAGAAAAATTAAAAATCATAGTTCATTGTACAGTTCATGCTACTGCATACAGAGATCCTATCTAGTGGTGGCTTTGGGTTGGCAGAGAAATCCAAAGGGGTGTGTGTGTGTGTGTGTGTGTGTATGGTAGGACAGTGTTTGGTGGAGCGTCCCAATTAAAATAAGCTTGGAAGCAGGAGTGGCATCCACTTCCTAAATGGCTTGCCTCCAGAAACTCTATGAACACTGCTCAGGTCTTTCGTTCATACGATCACTATGATTCGTCTACGACTCGACGGCACCTAACAACAACAACAACAATAACAACAAGGGTTGTTGTTAAGTGCTGTCAAGTCAGATATGACTCATAGCAACTATATGAACAATAGATCTGAACTCAGTCCTATCCTGCACCATCCTCATCATCCTCAACACATTGGAGTCCTTTGGCTCAGACAGTGTATCAGCCCATCTCATTGAAGGTTGTCTTCTCCTTCACTGACCCTCCATATTTCCAAACATAATGTTCCATTCCAAGGAGTAGCCTCTCCTAACAACATATCCAAAATATATGAGACAAAGCTTCACCATCTTTGCCTCCAAGGAACTCTGGCTGCACTTATTTCAAGACATATCTGTTTGTTATTTTTGACAGTTCATGAACCATTCTTATTTCAAGACATATGTTTGTTTTTTGACAGTTCATGAACCATTCAGCACTTTTCTTCAACATCACAATTCAAATGTATTGATTTTCTCCTGTCATCCATATTCATTGTCCATCTCTCAGATGCATAACAGGTAATTTGAAAGACTGTGGCTTGAATCAGGTGAACTTTGCATATATATTTTCATATAAACATACATATAGATATTTCAGTATATATGTATGTATGAATAGTTACTTGTTGTTTCGAATGTGCTCACCAGTCTATGGTAGGAAGTTTGGAGGACAGCTACCTGGCTGACTGACTGGATATGGAGATCCATATTTGTTTCTGTTCTCGAGAAAGGTGACCCAATAGAATGTGGAAATTTTCAAACAATATCATTAATATCACATGTAAGCAAAATACTGCTGAAGATCATCCAAAAATGGCTGTAACAGGATATTGAGACAAAGCTACCAGAAGTTCAAGCTGGGTTTAGAAGAGGACATGGCACCAGGGATATCATTGCTACTGTCAGATGGATTCTGACTGAAAACAGAGAATATCAGAGATG